CCTACTGGTGACTTATCAAAAACCGATGGACCTGAAACTTCATCTAGTAGTAAAAAGCTGCCAACAAAAACCGAAAAAAGTCCTTTAGTTTCTAAGAACAAAGTAGCAAATGCTGTTTTAGAAATTAAATCTAAACAAATATGTGATAATTTAATAAATATTAATTCTGATTTAGGCGCAGAGAGTAAATAATTGTTTAGCGAAGTGACAAAAAATCACAAGAATAAAAAACAAAATACTGGAGTTGTGGGGAAATCTAACTCAACCAAATGTTCCCTATCAGTAGTCCCAAAGAAGGCATTTATCTATGTATCACGTCTTAAGCCTGGCACTAATAGTAAATGCATTATAGACTATTTGAAAGGTGATTTTCCGGAAGTGGAATGTGAGGAAATTGAATCTAAATATCCTCAATATTATTCTTCTTTCAAAGTAATTGTAGATCTTTATAAATTGGATAAAGCAATGGATCCTGAATTATGGCCTGAAGGAGCTTATATCTCGAGGTTTTTTCACCCCCGCCCAAAAGAGAAAAAAGCATCCTAAGGTGCAAAAACTTAACTAGAATTTTTTATGGAAATGTTCAAAGTTTAACAAATAAATTGGATTTAATTGAAGCTATTACTGAGGAAAGTGTAATGGATGTTATGTGTTTCAGTGAAACGTGGTTATCTGAACTAACAATTTCGTATTTAAAGCTAAATAATTATGTATTAGCTGCTTACTTTTGCAGATCAATTCATGTACATGGTGGTGTTTGTATTTTTGTAAAAAATGGTACTAATTTTAAAAAAGTTGATTTTTCTTCAGTAGAGATTGACTCTGAATTTGCAGCTATTGAGTTAATTAAGCTTAATACAATTATTATTTGCTTATATAGATCACCACTGGGTAATTTAAAAGCATTTAAGGAAAACATAAATACAATTTTATTTAATATACCAAAAAACAAAAGTATTATAGTTTGTGGGGATTTTAATATAAACTTTTTAAATAATAACAATATAGACGTAATTGAAATAAGAAACTTATTTAAAATGTATAATATGTATAATCATGTTAAAGAGCCTACTAGGGTGACTTTAATGACAAGTACACAAATTGATGATATTTTTTCAAATTGTCAAGATAACGTTTATTTGTGCAAGGTTGTTGAATGCCATTTGTCCGATCATAAATCCATCATAGTTGAAATAAATAATAATTCTAATACTAAGTCTGTAAATAATTTTAAACTTGTTGAACATTTTTGTGAGAATAATGTTTTAAGTTATATCAATCTTGTTCAAAATATAAATTGGGAAAGCTATTATGGTCTTTGTGATCCAAATGATCTTGCAAATTTTTTAGTAAATAACTTACAAACTGCTTATAAAGCTGCCTTTCCTTTAATCAAAGTAAAAGTAAGTACAAATAATGTTTGGTATAATCAAAAGCTAAAACGTATGAAAGATTTTTTGATTTTTTTAAATGATAATCTAAAAAATTCTAATCGTAAAGAAGATTATAATTATTATAAAGAGTATAAAAAACTCTATAGGCTTGAAATAAAAAAATCAAAACTTAGTGCAAATAGCAACTATATAAATAATAGTGCAAATAAACAAAAAGCTGCTTGGAAAGTTATTAATAACAATAGGAATGCCAAAATTACTTCACAGAGTACAATAGATGCGAAAACTTTTAACGATCATTTTTTGCAGACAATTAATAAGGTAATTAATAACACCAACATAAATAATTTTTCCACTGACTTTGGAATAAGTGATGTTAGGTCATTTTTCTTATTTCCTGTTTCTTATAATGAAATGGCTAATACGATTAATGATCTTAGTAACTCCTTAAGTAAAGATGTGTATGGCCTGAATGGCAGAGCTCTTAAGTTGGTTTCTGGTATAATTGGCGATCCTTTGGTTTTGTTAGCGAATGAGTGTTTTGTTCATGGTATATTTCCAAATGTTCTTAAATTTTGCAAAATTGTTCCTGTACACAAAAAGGGTAGCTTAAAAGACCCAAACAATTTTAGACCAATATCTATTACACCTATTCTGGGTAAGGTTTTAGAAATCTTAATTAAGGGCAGACTTCAAAAATACTTTAATGAAAGACATTTTTTGAATACTTTTCAATTTGCATATAGAGATGGTCTCTCTACAATGTCACTAATTAATTCCTTAGTATGTAATATTGTGAAATCCATGGATGAGGGATGCATTGCTAAGGGAATATTCTTTGACTTGTCTAAGGCGTTTGACGTTGTGTCAAGAGATCTTCTTCTGGACAAGCTTGATCATTATAATGTAAGAGGCGTGGCCCTTGAACTAGTTAAGTCATATCTTTCCGATAGATATCAATGTGTAGAAATTGACAAAATAAAATCCGACTTTGTTCAAATGAAATTTGGAGTGCCGCAGGGATCTGTTCTTGGGCCTTTGCTATTTATAATTTTTATGAATGACTTTGTTGTAAACAATGCTTCCGTTTTTATGTATGCAGACGATACAACAATTTTATGTAAAAGCAAGGATGAAGCTTGTCTTGAAGAGGAGTCCTTGACTGCAGCAAGTGATGCCAAACTTTGGTTTGCTGATAATGGTTTGCTTTTAAATGAGGAGAAAACCCAAAGCATGTATTTTACTTTACAACCTTCTTTTAATAATCAGCTTTCAATTAAATATTTGGGAATATACCTGGATAGCAGAATGGACTTTAAGGCACATGTTCTAAGTTTACTAAGTAAGTTGTCAAAAAGCATCTATTTGCTCAGACAACTTCGTAGTCTATTATCGAGAAGTGTACTCAGAATGACATATTTTGCTGTTTTTCATAGCCATTTATCCTATGCTACTTTGGCATGGGGAAATTCTTCTAATGCTTACAAAGTTTTCCTTTTGCAGAAGCAAGCTGTGAGAGCTATTTATGGTGCTGGATATACTGATCACTGTAGGCCAATTTTTAAAGATCTGAAGATTTTGACCCTTAGTGGCCAGTATATCTTGGACTGTATCTTGTATGCTCATTCTGAGGACTATCAGTGCCAGGGGGATCATCATGGTCATGATACTAGGAATAGAGGCTTGATAGCTCTGCCGAAATGCAGGCTTTCTAAAATGCAGCAGTCTTTTAAATACCAATCTGTGATATTTTACAACAAGATTCCACCTAGTTGGAAAAAATATTCTCTAAAAAAATTGAAATCTTCTTTAAAATTGTTTTTGTTAGAGCATTGTTTTTATAGCACGAAAGAGTTTTTGGAATATTGTGATAGTAATGTAATGTATTGATGCCATGTAGTGTTTTGATTATTAATGTTTTTTAATTGTATTTTATTTTTTTTAATTCTTTTATTTGCTTGTTTATATTTGTTGTATTCTTTATTTTATTATGCAACTAAATTTTTCTTGTATTTATTCTTTTATTTATAATTAGTGTAGTTGATAATTATATATTTATTAATTTATGTTCCCGACTTGTGCACACAATTTTGTATTGTTTTTAAGCATAAATAAAGTATTATTATTATTATTATTAATAAAAAAATTAGAACAAATTCTAAAAAAGTGGGAAAAACTCATAATTTAAAAAAAAATTCAAAGGAGGTTTTTTCTTACTTTTTACTATCCTGACGGTACCATAAATTCAGATATGAAAATTAATTTTTAACCTGAGCACCGATGACTTTTTTAAAAAATAATAATTTTTTTTTCAAACAAGGTTTTTTCTTACTTTTTTTTCTCTTCCAAATGTACTTCTAAAGTTTTAGATTTTTAAATTAGTTTTTAAGCTAAGCCTCGACCACTTAAAAAAAAATTGATAATAACGTCAATAATAAAAAAATTAGTATAAACCAGGACCAAATTTGCAAAACCAGGACAAAACCAGTACACAATTAAAACCAGGACACATTAGCAAAAACCAGAACCTGTCCTGGGTATATCAGGGCGGTTGGTCACCTTAGTGTAGGTGAACATCAAGAGGAAAAAAAATTTCGAGTTTATTTGGAAACTAGTTTATCCTTGAACAAAAATACCACCGAAATGAACAAGATACTTTCCACATCCATTTATGTCATAAGAAGACTTAGACAGGTATGCACTCATCAAATGTCAAGAATGGCATATTTTTCTTATTTTCATTCAGTTGCTACATAAAATGTATATTATATTATGGCATTTTACTCTGAGGAGCAACGCCTAAACTGTAAGAAATAATATTTCTTACAGTTTAGGAATATTTATCTTGCAAAAAAAGCAGTAAAGGCACTATGACAAAATCTGACAGTTGTCGAAAAGCTTTTAAAGACGAAAAAATACTTATCATACCGTCAGTCTATATACGTGCCTTACATAAGTAAACAACAATACAAATATTTTTTTTTTAAACTGTGATATACACCAACTGATCTTTTACTTCTGCTACAACAAGCTACCTAATCCTCTAAAACAACTGAAGAGTCAAAAAACTACTTCAGGAAAATGTATTTTATTCCTTGGAAGAGTACATGATAAAAGTACTAAATATGTGATGATGCTTTGTAACCGTTTTGTTTAATTATGTGTAAAATTTTTGTCTTATATATAAAAAGTATAATTTTTATTCTTTATACACCATTGACTTTTCATGTAATTTATTGATATTATTATTATTATGTATCAAAATAGATTCAAATAAAAAATAATTTATTTAAAGCCGTCTATTTTTTTATAAATAAAAAAGTTCAGGATTTTTTATGCAAGACAGCCCTAGATTTTTCATAGTGCACTATTCCCCTTCATATTATAGAAAACTATATAACTATATAACTTATATAGTGATTTTGTGAATTTTGAAAATACTAAATTTGTGGTAATTTTTTTTATTTAGTTGATTTTTTAAATAATTTATTTAAATCCCATTGATTTAAATATATGTTTCATAGTTTTTCTAAAGAAAATGAATATTTTGTTTATCTAGAATATACAGATATAATTTATTTACTTTTAAAAGTATATGCGACTTACCAGGTTGCGTTACAGCATAAAGATCTAACTGTTGAAATGGATAGGGTGTAGAAATTTCACTAGAATATTGACAAATAATTTCGTTTGATGTAAGTTGGCCAGCTTTAGTAGTAAAATGAAATAGTCTCATACTAAATTCCCAATCCTCATTACTATTTTGTAAAGAAATATATGAGTTGTTATTACTTCCTAATAAGTTCATAAAATCTTTACTTTCGCCTCCTTCTTGTATTTCCACAATTTTTAAATCTGGCTTGATTAAATGCTTATTTAATTCTTTTGGATAGTGGTTTAATAAATTTTTAGCAAAATTAATTGTATTAATTTTCCTATTTTTACTGGACTTTGAACCATACCAAACAAATACTTGAGTTTTATTTAAAATTATAAAGCAGGTTCGACTTCTTAATTGTTTAACATGACATGGTACTTCCACACAAAATATTTCTTGTTTAAATTCTCCATTAACAATGTACATTTTTGGTTCCAAATTCTTACGTTTTTTGTTATGTACTAGCATTTTTCCATTAAAAAGTCTTAAAAACGCAGCAGGTTCGGAGCCTTGAGCAATTATAATTTGAGGTGCATTTTCTTTATTTATTTCCAAAATTAAATATGCAGATGCGCATTTTTTATTAACTGAAGTTGTATTACCTTGCCAACAAAAAAAGGTGGTATGCTCCTTTCCTACTTGATTATATTTGGATGGGTTGCCATCCAAGCACCTTCCTTTAACATTTTCACTGTATTTCCAATTATAAATATATACTTCATCACTATAAAAGTTAGCAATGCTTTCATTTTCCAATTCTTCAAATGAGTTTTCTAATATTTTCCAAGCTTTTATTTGAATTGTAGTAATTTCTATTTGTCTATTCGTTCCTTTATCATAAAAACTATCGCCCCTTCCTACATTCATATCTTGAATCCTTAGATTTGATTTTTCTGTTTTGTTTTCTATCATTTCTGCTGCGTTGCATGGTGCGATGTTAAAAGAAAAATCATTAAAATCAAAATCTTTTATTTCTTCCTTTTTAAACAAATCAGGCCAATCAAAGAATTTTTCTTTAAACAGTATTGTTTCACCATTCTGAGTTAACTTAGTAAATAAACACCATACAGGACGCTCGTCACCTTTTAATAAAATATCTTTTTTTGGACGATCACCTAATAATTCCGCAATATTTAATGGACAAATGGTACACTCGCTATAGTTGTACCCTTTTGACCAAAATTCTTCAGCGAGATTTAAGGCAATTTTTTTAAGCTGACTACAGGCATTTTTTCCAGTCCAAAAATACATTTCAGTACCATAATCAAAAAGTAAAATACTATATTCATCTAATATATCAGTCCTTGGTATTGTACCCCAATAAGTATTTAAAGGCTCCCATTCATTATTTACAAATTTATAAATCATGTTGGTATGTAAAATATTTGTTTCATAAGTCACATCTTCATCGGGGTGACCTGGACTAACTGTCTTTGGGATGTTATCTGATTTTAAAATTTTCCAAAACGATTTCAAAGTTTCATAATGACATTCATTTTTTGATACCGTATATATTTTACTTGTTGTACAGCCCATATCACCAGTTTTTTTTATAAATCTAACAAAGTCTAAAGCTTTTGATTGCTCTATTACATTTGAATATGACCCAATATAAAGAAATAAGGCTGAAGTAGTAATTAAAACATAACAATCCCCTTCATTAATGCTTTCTTTACTAGGTTTTACTAATCTTACTTGTATACATTTCCTTCCTTTAATCTGAATTAACATTATGTCCTTATATGGCGGTAAATAGGTTGATGCCTGAAATTGCTTTAAAGTAATTGATTTATAATCTTCTTTACCCGCCAGCCCTTTTAGTACTTCCACAGTTTTGTTTAATTTTTTGGCAACTGAAAAAATATAATAATTATGAAATAATGAACAGGCATATTAAATTTCCGAATTTAAGCTTTAACGGCAAGTGCAAATGTACACATATAAATTAATTTTATTGTTTACGATACTCTGCATTTTTATGTTGCTTACATTGCGGGTTTCGACTAACTTTATATATAATATAATTTATACCTACGTTTTTCATACTTTAGTCTTTCCTTCTCCTTTTCAGCTATTCCTGTTATTATATCGGTATCTTTAATATTGACGTCATTTCTGTTAACTAAAACTTTAATTGGGTTTTTGGAAGAAATGCATTTTCGTTTTTGCGGTTTAATATATTTCTTAAAAGCTAATAATGATTCTCTTTTAACTACATCAAAATCCTCTACTGATAGTAAAATTTCATCTTTTTTATTATTTTGTTCAATACTTTTAAAAGTATGGTTATTGGAATAATTTAGAGTAAAGGTTCTTTGTTGACAATCTAAAAATAAAAAACCAACATGTTAAATGTTTAAAAAAAAATGAGAACTGGCCAAATACCTCGTCACCGTTGCTTTTGTTTTGAGCGTGCTACATCTCACCGCTGTCGCTGTACTTGTTTACATATATAAGGTCGTGGCAGCTTTTTCCAGCGTGCTTACACACCACGGCTATCCATCACTGATGAGGAAAATAAGACCGGAACAGGCTGTCGGTGCCTGGTTGTGTAGCATACTCGAAACAAAAGTCTCAGTGACGAGGTATTTGGCCAGTTCTCACTTGTTAAATATTATTTATGTTATTTCTCTAAATTACACTGTACAACAGAAAATTATAATTTGATGAAAACAACTTCAATGGAATCGTTGCGACACAAAAACATACCGTCTAACAGTTTTGCGATCCGATTTTTGAAATTGAAAACGTTATGATAGGTACGTAAAAAGTCAATACAATTGAAATATAAAACTTTTGACCATTTTAAAATTTTTGTTGTAATGCGAAAATAAACGTGAAGATTAAACAATTTATTAAGTCTAATTATATTAAAATGTTCGCTATTAAATTTCCTAAGACATTGGAGGAAATTTGTGGTTATCTCGTACGGTTGTATTGATTTTCGACGTTGGTTTTCATTAGGTTTGCTTCTTGACCTTTTTGACCATATCTTTTGAATGAAATAGCAAAACCGCCTTGGATATAGCTTTAGGTTTGCGCAATATTCTATTCTTTAAGAAAAAGTAAAAATTGTTCATATTTCTTGTATTGGTGTTGATAATTCAGTTTAAAGGATAACAAAACAAAGCGATTTTTTCAATTTAATAAAAAAACTGAAAATTGGCCATTACCAAAAAAAACATTCGGCTAACCTCTTTTTTCGCAACTTTTTGGGTGCCCTGAACTAAAAAAATGAATATAGATTTTTATTATAAAAATAACAAACATAATTTATTTACATTAGTATAATAATAATAGATGTCTCTGAAGTTCGCAGTACTTAATTCAAATGTTTATTTTTAGTGATTATTGGTTTTGTTTTATCAGACTTTATTTGGGTAAATTTTGAATGGTATAATAATTTTGTGCAGGGGCTTGCGCTAAGGTAAAGAAAACGAATGTGACATTTTTCAAACGCATATCATTAAAAAAATGACAACTTTTTTTAACGGTACAACCGTTAAAATATTATATTGTTCAACGATTAAGAAAACTATACACTGAAAAAAAGATTTCTTATATTAAGAACACCTATCATCTTGAAAATATTTTTTTAACTCAAGTAAACGCTTTAAAATAAGAATATATATTTGAATTAAAAATATTTAACTACTTTTTTGGAAATATTCTAATATTAAGAAACATTTCTTGTTTTTAAAAGTTGCCTGTTTTAATCCAAATATTAAAAATTCTTAAAGGAAATCTTAGTTGGTTTCTTGGTACAATTGTTAATATTTTTTTATATCAAAAATTAGATATTCTTATTTTTTTATTTGTTTAATTTTTTTATATTATAATTAGATATTATTAAATTTTTTTATTCGTTGTAATAAACAGTACCTATTTTCTTTTGCCAAGAATACATAATCTTGAAATCGTGTAGGAGTGTGGATTCTTACACGTTCCTCTTAAATTTTATGCCTAATCATGCAGTGTTTTTTTTTGTGAGCGAGAGGGTGTATTTCATTAAAAAAATTATTAGAAGAGTGGTCAGCATCGGAGGAAATTATAAAAAAAATTGAAGGTAAGTAAGTTGTTATTGATATACCACCCTTTTTTAAATATATATATTTTATTCAGAAATAAATAGGCTTTGCAGTGATAACCAAAATATCTGTCGTGTTTAACACTCTGATTTGTATGGCTCTATATTTTTAAATTAATAAACTTAATTTATTTTATGACATTTAAAAAGATTTTGTTTTAGAAGTAATTTTGTTACACACTTTGGGGTATAACATTAATTTTGATTAATATAGGGTGTAGTTTATTGGCAATAGCCCTAAATTATTTATAAAAATTGGTAATTGCTATTCTACTATGCCTAAAATATTACAAATTATTTCAAATGAAAAATATGTCGATAATATTGGTGTTTCCTACGTTAATTTATAACAATTTACCCATTTTAGATTTTTCTTCTATTAAAAACAAAATAAATGTGTTTGTTTTTTATTTTTTAACCTAATTTTTTTTGGTTACTGCACTGCCTAGAAACGATACAACGTATACTTTGGTCCATCAGTAAGTTTGGCTCAATTTTGAATAATCCTTAAGTATTTAAATATAAAGTTTTGTTTAAGATTAGACAACAATCCTTAAAAAATTACAGTATATTACTCCAGTCCTCTTTAAGTGTTTAGACGTATTTTTATATTAAATTTTATTTCTCTTGCAGTTATATTCCTAAATATAAAGATGTTTTTATTATTAAAATAAATAATTTTTGGTTAATAGACGTATCATTATTTAAAATTTTATTGATTTTAAATACAACATGATAGATTTTTTGAAACATTGCTAAAAGTAGCTTAAAATTAAGATAGATTCATTTTATTTTTAACGATATTTCTTGCATTGTTTTAAAGTAAATATTGTTTTGTAATCAAACAAAAAAAAAGTTTATACAAAATCAATGAAATAAAATTTAAAATCTTAAATCTATTAATTAAAAAAAATATTGTGTTATAGAAAACATCTTTATTTGAGAAAATTATTGCCTTATTTCAATATCACATGTTTTTCTTTTAAGAAAATTTATTCTTGAATTAAGTATCTTTTTTATTTAAGAATACCAATGATTTATTTTTAAAAGAATATATTCTTGCTTTAAAACAACCAATCAAAATTAAAAATTATATATTCTTGCTTTTAAACAATCGAAGTTTTATTTAAAGAAGTTTAATTTTCTTACATTAAGAAAAGATTCTTGAAGTAAATTAACGTGAATAAAAAAAATGCTTTACTATTTTAAAGAATATATTCTCTTTGTTATATATGAGACAAAGATTGTTTTGAATCAAATACATTTATTTGATACAAGAATATTTTTTTTTCAGTGTACGAGCCGAAGGCGAGTGAACCAATTCATTTGAATTAAAATGTTCATTTCTCAAGAGTTGTACACTATACTTTTTCTAATTTTAGTAAAGAATTTATTACAACTTTGTGTAGTTACCATAACCACAGATATGATAACAAATGTCAGTATCAATTAATTTTTAAGAAAATAATGAACCACTGTAATTGTCATAGTAATGATAAATACTACTGTAAAGAAAAATAAAATATCGTCGTCTTATTGGACAGTAACCGTGGAGCAGTTTAAGACTGAGCCACTCAATAATTAAAATGTACCTACAAATTATTAAATGTTTAATTTACACACAAGCGGAAAAAGCACGACGCACACTCGTCAATCGGCGAAAAAAATACATTTTTAATAAGTTTTTATTTTTGGTAATTTTATGAGGTCAATTTGTTAAAAACACCTTAAACCATTAGGTTTTGGTAAATAAAAAAATTAGATTACTTCTGTTTTAAGTTTACGAACTCTCAAAGTAGAATGTTTTTAAAACCGTAAATTTGGCTAAAAATTACGCTTACATTTAATGCCTTATATTTTTTAAACGACTATAAAGAATTTGTTTTTTTTTAAATATGTTTAAAGTAACTCTTTATCTATTAAATAACGACAATTTTAGGAAAAGTTATGAATATTTATTCGTCGCGCAGCATGTATATATATATATATATATATACCGTACCTTCATTTGCAAGCTAACCATAGGGAAAATACATTGTAACTGGACCAGATAAGTCGCAGTCAACACAAAGCGAGAACTTTTTCAGAAATGATTTGGATGCGTCGTCGAGACATGCGTACTAAAACAAATTTTACGAAATTTACACCGCACAAAATAAAAAACAATAATAAAGCATCGATGTATGAAGCAAGGTCAACTGTTACGGCGCTTTCTAGCCTACTCGTCCACGCGTCCAAATCATTTCTACAACGTTTTTCGCTTCGTGCTGACTAAGACTTATCTGGTCCAATTACAATGTATTTTCTCTATGGTTAGCTTGCAAATGAAGGTACGGTATACAAAGTTTATATACAAAAGTGCTCTTTTAGTTCCACCCTTACTTCCTAAGAAATCCCAGAAGACAACTGAATAGCTTGTGCGGGTTAGGGGTAGGAGCGGGCTTAAAGTCCCCTCCGAAGGACTATTAAACAATAGGACAAACACAAATAAACAGCCATACCCCTGGTGGGATTCGAACCCACGACCTCCGGCTTGTAGTCAGCAGCACTAACCACTAGTCGGTATATGTATATATACCTATATATATATATATATATATATATATAGATATGCAATCCTACATTACCAAGCCCGAAACGTTACATTCTACAGTATAAACGAAGCCCACTCGGTTTTTACGAAGCCCGAAATCGGGCTTCCTAAAATTAGCGTGTATAAATTTGTTTTAGAGTTAAGTGATGCCCCCTTGTTTCAATGGCGAAAAAGTGGTGGGCTTCCTAATGCCATTCAAACCTATCAAAATATACACCCTTAGTTCCAATGCTTTGGCGGTAGGGGGCACACGAGTCAAACGAGATTATATACAGCTTTGTATAAGTATTACGCAGTATACGAAGCCCGTACATCTGGCAACAATGGGGACTATACGCTCGATGACTTTTTGATAGGAAGGCGGGGAAAATAATGCGGGATTCTTAAATTTGTATCTACTGATTTTCAAAACAAATGTTATATTCCCAAAATTATGTTTTGTTCACTACCTACATGGCGTGGATTAAAAGGCAATGTTTTGTTAAATACTTTCGTAATACACTTAATTTTAAAGAAATATTTATTTTTGAAATATTATTTGGAGTGCATTTTTCTTTGGGGCGGTTTTTCAAGTTGTCCAGATATTTTACATAGTTTTAATTGGGGAAACAAGGGGATTTGTATATATTATTATTATTATTATTCA